CTTGGTCATTGCTTCAGCATCTCCTGCCTCCAATGGTCATCCTCGCTGCTCTCCTTTCGTTGCCCCTACAGCCAACCTCTCCCTCCTCTCACAGTGCTGTTTTTCTTTCCCAGCTCCCCAGCGTGCTGAGACCTACATCAGTATCCCTTGTCCAGCCTCCCCAGCCCTTCGCTCTCCCTCAGGCTTCTCCACATCAACTCCTGCAAGCCCATGGTCACCTCCCTACACCATTTACCCCCTTCTTTATGCCCCACAGCGTGGAAGGGGAGCTGTGGCCCACCCCAACCATCCACAGTTGCTGTCCCAACAGGGAGGATGCTGCACTGCGGGTTGTCGGCCACCGGTACCTCTCCTACACACCCGACAGCTGCAGGGACTCCACTTTTGCTGCTGTATCCTGTGTTTCTCCTTGCATTTGTAGTCTTGTCAGAGGCCACAGCCACTGCTGTGTTAGAAGGACACATGGTAGAAGCACAAGCTAGATGTGCTCCTCAGGGGTTGGTTTTGGGACGAGCACTGTCGGCAACACAGACAGTGGGATTCAGCACACCCTCAGCAAGTTTGTAGATTACACCAAGCTGTGTGGTGCTATCAAGGTGCTGGAGGGAAGGGATGCCATCCAGAGGGACCTTGACAGGCTTGAGAGGTGGGCCCATGTGAACCTTGGGAAGTTCAACAAGTGCAAGGTCCGGCACGTGGGTTGGGCCAGTCCCAAGCACAAACACAGGCTGGGCAGAGAATGCACTGAGAGCAGCCCTGAGGAGAAGGACTGTGGGGGTAGGTTCTGGTTGATGAAGAGCTGGACATGAGCCAGCAATGCGAGCTTGCAGACCAGAAGGCCAACTGTATCCTGGGCTGCATCCAAAGCAGCATGGCCAGGAGGGCGAAGGAGGTGACTCTGCCCCTCTGCTCCACTATGGTGAGATCCCACCTGGAGTCCTGCATCCAGCTCTGGAGCCCTCAGCACAGGAAAGACATGGACCTGTTGGAGCAGGTCCAGAGGAGGGCCACAAAAATGATCTCAGGGCTGGAACACCTCTCCTGTGAGGACAGGCTGAGAGAGCAGGGCTGGTCAGCCTGGAAAAAAAAAGGCGGCTGTGGGGAAGACCTTATTGCAGCCTTCCAGCACCTCAAGGGGATCTACAAGAAAGCTGAAGAGAGACTTTTTACACGGGTGTGTAGTGACAGGACAAGGGATGATGGCTCCAAACTGCAAGAGGGTAGACTGAGATTAGATCTAAGGAAGAAATTCTTTACTGTGAGGGTGGCGAGGCACTGGAACAGGCTGCCCAGAGAAGCTGTGGCTGCCCCCTTCCTGGCAGTGTTCCAGCCTAGGCTGGATAGAGGTGGTCTAGTGGAAGGCGTCCCTGCCTGGGGCAGGGGGGATGGAACTAGATGATCTGTAAGGTCCCTTCCAACCCAAACCTTTCTATGCTGCTACAAAGCTGCAGTTCCACTTTTCCAACTTTTTTTACACAGAAGTAGCTTTGGGCACTGCGCTCTGCACATAAACGGCTGCAAACCAACCTTTACTGTCCCAGGCCTGTTATTTGCCGAAGAAAGCAGAGCCCAGCACCGTCGCAGGCGCTGTGCTCTGCCCGCAGGAGCCAGCAGCGCGGGGGAGGCTGGCTGCCGGGGGCCACTGAGGAGGGTGGTGCCGCTGCTCTTCAGCGCAGGACACAGCACACCAGAGGGGAGTTTCCACCAGTGCTACGCAGATGTATTTAGTTGCTCTTCCTTAGAAGCTAGAATAATAAAATGGCCTCAAGGCAGCAATTTTATTCCCATTTATTTGGCAAAGCAGGCAGATCCACAAGCGAAGGTCAGGTACGTCAGGGAGGGGAAAGGAAGACAAGCGACATTACTGGATCAGTCTTCAAACACCAATGTATCCGCTGTGGCCCTGTTTCAGGTCTTCCAAGAGCCCCAGGAGGCAGCAGAGCATGTCCGCACCCTGGGACTTCTGACACCTAACAGAGAACTGCCCTTACTCCTCTGCGACACACAAGCACCTCGAAACTACAGACTGTGCGCACACCTGGAGGTGTGGTTTCTGGGCCAAGCTACAATGTCCGCAGGCTAAGGGGAGCACAAGTCCCTGCTGAGAAGGGAGGTCTTAGACACCCTTCCGAGATAAGGGCAGAGGAAGGGGAAAAAACCCCAAAAGGCAACCAACCCCCATCCCTAAACACCCCAGGGAACTGATGAAGGCCGTCATCACAACCGCGAGTTAAAGGCGAAGCTGTTGGAAGCCAAAATGCATTTTCATTATTTATCACACTACCTTGTGTCTTTTTTTTGGCACTGACCCAAACACACAAAAAAGTAACAGACCCCAGCTTAAATCAGATCACAAGTCACAGACAGAACGCAATGCAAGTCGAAGTAAGTTTGCCACGGAGTCTGGTGGGACTTGACCCCCACTCCTTCAAACAAGCTTGCGCACCCCTCCAGCTGCCACCAAACATTGGCAAGGACGGCAGGGCTGCCGGCGGGGCCCCCCCCCCCCCCCCACAAGGGGGCCCTGGGACTCCCCC